CAGTTACTTGGGAAGTTAAGGTAGGAGGATCATCCGAGCCTGGGAAGGGGGGGCCGCACTGAATCATGATCACTGCACTGCAACACAGCTTGGTGATACTGTCCTAAAAAAAAAAAAAAAAAAAAAAAAAAGAATGGGGGTATCCTGAGAAAACAGGTTATGGGAATGGGAGAAGAGGAATTCTACTGAGGAAAAATAAATGATAATTAGAGAGAATGATTGGATTGGGAAGCAGAAATTAACTTGTAAATCATTCTCTCTGGAATTTAAATGATACTTAGAGATGGTCATTTTCTTGTAAAAGGGTCTGTTCAGATGTGGTTACATTCTTGGTCTCGTTCCTGTAATGGATAATAAGATAACAAGGAGGGGCACAGGAACATTTTTTCTCTCTATCTTTCCCTCCTATCTTTATGTAGATAGGGGGAAAGTCTCTCCCAATGCTTGTTGATCTCTAAGGGTTTTTCTTTCAGAATACTCATTATACCAGGAAGCCATTTTTTGGGGTGAAATTCCCTGTGCTCCTTCAATAGTCCTACATAGTGGGATATTATGTTGCTGCAAAAAATGAGAACAATCTATTGATGGGGTCCAGGACAAGTCACCCCAAATATGACTTTAGGAGACCAGAATATACATGCCAAAATATACCTTTTTGGCATACGGATAATTTTGAGCTATTATTTTGAGAAATTGTAGACACAGAAGAGTCTCTGAGAAATTATCCTGTGTGAGAGAAATTTACATCTACAAAAGAAATCTCCATCAGTGAAAGTATCTCCATCTCCATACCAGGAAGAAAAGGATACTAGATTACTAGACTCTAAATGGAGAAGGCATTGACTTAAATCTGCATATCAAAACTTACTTTTGTTTATGATGCTTTTCCTGGTCATCTTATCATACTGAAACTGCCATTGCAAAATTATAATTGAGACAGTAAAAGAGACCTGACCTAACCAACTTCATCTTGCTTCTAAACTCCAAGCTGTCATTGTTTATTCCTGGGTGTAGGCAACACTAACTTTGGGAGGAACTTAGTTTATAATTTAAAACAAAGAAAATAACAGCTCTTTTCCAAAACAAACCCCCTTTTGACTGGGGATTGGACTGCCTTCTAGGACTAACAAATTAGCCAAAAGATTTGAAATTATGGTTCAGGAGTCATGCAGCTGGAGTATGCAAGATTCTGACCCTCCCCAAATTATTTCTGGGGATAACATCACTATTTAAGGTCTAAGATCAGTGCTTGAGATATTTTGTAGAGCCATATTTTGAGGTATCAGTTTCTGAGCCCCAATAGCAGGAACCTATTCCTCATCTCTTTCTAGAGCAGTGTGTTTTAAAATTAAATCTGGGTCTACTGGTAGTCCTTTGGAGTATAGGAAAGCTCGATTATCTTAACAAGACAAAATATCTTGTTCCTGAGAGCTTGGCTTTGGCATCTTTTGCCAAGTAGTGCAAACACCTTTTCCTTGTAGATACTGAAATGGCAAAGCATTAGGTGTTGCTACCAGCTCCTGACCTTGCCTCCACAGGGGTGAAAGTGTAACCGCCCAAGAGGTTCATTTTGTCCACTGCCCAGATAGAGCCAATTTATCAAGACAGAGGAAGTGCAATAGAGAGTTTAATTTATGCAGAGCCAACTGAAGTTGGAGTTTTATGACTCAAATCAGTCTCTCTGAAAATTCAGAGGCTAAGGTTTTTTAAGGATAATTTGTTTGAGGGGATGGAGGCTAGGGAATGGGTGCTGCTGATTGTTTGGCGGGTGCAATCACAGGGGTGTGGAAAATGGTCCTTTCGTGCACTGAGTCTGCTTCTGGGTGGGGCCACTGGACAGGTTGGTGGGTCTGAATAGAGCCATCAATCATCAGAAATGCAAAAACCTGAAAAGACATCTAAAAAAGCCAATCTTCAGTTCTACAATAGTGATGTTCCCTGCAATGGGGAAGTTGCAAATCTTGTGGCTAATCTGTTAGTATAACAAAGGCAGTCTGGTCCCCAGGGAAGAAGGGATTTTGTTTTGGGAAGGAACTGTTATCTTTGTTTTAGATAAAATTTATTTAAAAATATTTCTTTAAAAAGGAAACTGCCCATGTTCACTTAAATGTTTTATTTTCCTGAATTTTAATTGAAAATTTTTAAAATGTCTCTCATATTCTATATGATGGTACTGTACTGAATTTTAATCTTTTTATTTATTTTATATGAAAGCTGTCTATTCCCTGTGCTCCTTCAGTATGCCTACTTATGTAGGATATTATGTTGCTGTAAAACATGAGAACAGATGGAGGTGGGGGTGATACCCTGGATAATTCTTCTGTAGGGGCGTGTGTGTGTTTGTGTGTGTGTGTGTATTTTTTTTTTTTTGAGATGGAGTCCTGCTCTATCACCCAGGCTGGAGTGCAGTGGTCCAATCTTGGCTCACTGCAACCTTCGCCTCTCAGGTTCGAATGATTGTCCTGCCTTAGCCTCTCCACTAGCTGGGATTACAGGCACCTGCCACCATGCCCAGCTAATTTTTTTATTTTTAGTAGAGACGGGATTTCACCATTTTGCCCAGGCTGATCTTGAACTCCTGACCTCAGGTGATCCTCCCACCTCAGCCTCCCAAAGTGCTGGGATTACAGGCATGAACCACTGCATCTGGCCTTCTCTAGGTATATTTTTGAGTTGGTTTGGAAAATTGTGACAATGACACTTGGGACATATGTAAATCTTTATGTGAAATTTGTTGACATCAGTGCTATCTATGCCATTGAAAGGTCATCTCCTCCATTTCTCCATTGCTCCTCTAGTTTTTATAAATATGTTCTCTTAGTTTGGCTAATATACATAGAATGAGACCAGGAAAATGTTCAAGCACAAGGAACCCTTCTTTCCTGTTATGAGAAGGAACATTTGGGCCAGGTGTGGTGGCTCATGCCTATAAACCCATCACTTTGAGAGCCCAAGGTGGGCAGATCACATGAGGTCAGGAGTTTGAGACCAGCCTGGACAACATGGTGAAACCCAGTCTCTACTAAAAATACAAAAATTAGCTGGCATGGTGGCACATGCCTGTAATCCCAGCTACTCGGGAGGCTGAGGCAGGAGGACCGCTTGAACCTGGGAAGTGGAGGTTGCAGTGAGCCAAGATCGCACCACTGCACTCCAGCCTGGGTGACAAAAGTGAAATTCCATCTCAAGGAAAAAAAGAGAAGGAACATTTGAATTCATGTTAAAGAGAGCAGCAATTTTTCTCTAAAGGAGGGCTTGTCCATAGCTGCTCTGGGGAAAATCCATAATCTCACCTTGATTGGAAATGGTCATTCCTCCTTCAAATGTCTGCCACGCCTATGGCCTGAACTGAAAGATCATTCAGAATCTCCAAGAGAAGTCAGGTGAGGTGGCTCACTCCTGTAATCCCAGCACTTTGGGAGGCCAAAGTGGGCAGGTCACTTGAGGTCAGGAGTTTGAGACCAGCCTTGCCAACATGGTGAAACCCCGTCTCTACTAAAAATATGAAAAAGTAGCTGGGCATGGTGATGTGTTCCTGC